CTGAACCGAAGAGTCAACACCTTAAATTGGTTTTGTTCCGTTATTACATGGGAGATTTTGCAGAGGCATTGATGCAGTCATTGCCTTTGTAGACAGCCCTTGCAAACCGCTTTGTGTCAGTCTTTGTCCTATACATGTGTGCGTGCGTGTGCCTGCTAATGTCTGTGTGATAGAACTGTCGTCAGCGAATCAGCCGAAACCTGTCATCAGCCATGTTAATGCTGGCTTGAAGGCAAAGAGGAAGATTAGCTGAGGAACTTATAATAATAATACTTGAAAAATGGAGCAAAGCCTCTTTTTACAGTCCTCCCAAGCAAGGCGAGGTTGTTTATCACTTTGGGAAGATGTTTGGTTGCCTCCCTTGTATGTCTGCTTTGGGCCCTTAAGCTGATTTTGCTACACAAGCACGTTCTCTTCAAAGCATGTCAAGATTTTCCACGCACACTAATGAGGTAAATGGATGGCTTTTGTTTTCTCCACAGTTTTAACTTCCCCCAAAGTGCTCTCATGACTTATACACGAGCTGTTGCGGAAATCAGCCTTGAGCATTTAATCAAATTTCTAACTCTACAGAGTGATCAATTTGTGCTGCAATATTCATCTTCCACTCAAGCATAAACATAACCGCACATTTACACAGACACGCACGCACGCATGCAGGCACGCACATACATACACAAGCATGCACTTACATACATACACAGATACAAGAGCATCGTAAGACTGCTATTTGTTTATGTTAAAGTAATGTCATTTTTGTTAGGTAAATTGAAAAAAAAATGAAATGCTTGAAAAAAAAATGCTGCTGTGACAGATTTTACTTCCTTTGAGTGTGTGAGAATCATACAAATGACTGTAAATTTAGGCAACATAAGGTACCTACTTTAGTCTATTAACAAAATGGAAATGAAACGAGTCCTTTCCCTCAGAACCGACACTTTATGGCTGTGTGATGGAAGAATAAAAGCACCAATTTGAAGGCACTTAGATCTCAAAATGAAAAGTTGTACTCGCAGACATAAAACATGCATTGACAGTTATTTGCCAGCATTTAGTTTTGTGAGCTGATGTGACTTAACCTTCAGGGATTCTAATATGAGTCCTATCCCTTTGAGGCACATAATGGATAGACATGACTTACTGTTTAAAGAGTTAATTCTCAACACTGTTAATTTAAATATTAATCAGTGCATCAATAGAAATATCCTACTGAGACCACTGTTATGTAAAACAACGTTTGGAACTCAGGTCACAGACACAATAATTCAGAGTGTTGGTACATTTAATTTTATGGACACTAGAGACAGGAAACATAATCTGTGTTTGTCCCTTTGATCTTTTGAGGATTGTCCTAACACGTTTATTCATTTTGCTTTTAAAAGGGATACTCTTTTTCTAGAAGGACTTACCTGTATATGCTGGGATATAACACATATAAGCACATTTATGATGTACATTTATAGAGTAACGTTTTCAGTTTTGTTACATTTAAGTGACATTTAGAAAAGTACTACCTAACCAAAAAAGCATAACCCTTTGTAAAATAGGGAATAACTACTGGTAGATTTATTTAACATTATTATTCTGACTCTATAGTATATTGCTATATGCAAAACTGAGCAAGTGGATACAATTGTACTATTGTACTTTTTGTTATACTCGCTTATAAGTCCAGCAGTTTGAAGAAATTGTTTTTAAATGATGTTCTTTCTTTCTTTCTTTCTTTTTTTCCACAAAGTTAACACTTGCTTTTAGTTGGGTCTCTCATGGAGGGGGGGGGAACCTGCTCTGTGCATCAAAATAATTTCCATTACAGGATCTTGATTGGTACAGTGACATTGTGTGCTTGGGATGGCATAGTGGTGAGGCAGGAGGGTCCTGGGTTTGAATCTGCCAGCTCACAGGAGCCTTTCTCTGTGGACTTTGCATGTTCATGCTTGTCTGTCTCCCCCGTAGCTTTGACTGGTGACATATCACTGCTGACAAACCACTTCATTGCAACTTGTCTGGGTGTAGCCCACCTCTCACCCCCTGACAGCTAGGATAGGCTCCAATCCCTCTGTTACCCTGAATTGGATAAGCAGTTAAGAAAAAAAGATGATTAAGTGTATTGATTGATCAGTAATAACCCTCCTCCTGTTCATGTGTTGATTACTTCACTCACCTTGACAGTTTGGCGGTTATATCTATTCTAGATTGATTGCCATTTGGCAGAGAGGGGCATGATCCCAAGAAGTCAGTTCTCCTTGTTGTATCACATTCCAGCATTGTCAGATGTGCCATAACAATCGTGGCTACATGAGTTCAATTTTTAACCGAGCAGCTTACATGTTCGTTTTTTCTTAATACCGTCTTCTAATTAAAAGAGCATCAATATCGGGCCTTTGTTGTTTAAAACACAATTTATATTTTGTTCTCATACCAGTATTACCATGGCTGCCAGCTTTCACAGAGTATCTTTTTACTTGTACACTTAATCAAACAAATTTCATCCTCAGTTGCATCCAACAACGTTAACATCACCCACTACAAACTAAAATATTCACTCATCTCTCTAACTGCCTCGCATTCTTGAATACCTCTCATATTAGTCACACACTGCTTTGTTTCAGAAAGACAAAAATGGCAACCTTATGAACCCTTCTGTGAATCATACCTGTTTTCATCTATCACTGTACAGTATTGCTCTAATAACACATTTTTGGAAGCCATGCGCTTATATTCTGAAATATACAAAAATGGCCTAAAAAACAACAATAGTGTCGATCAAATTAATTAAAGGCACTTGTAAATTATTTGTTGATTTCTGTAGGCAGGACCTCAAGCACTACATTGTGAGAGGGGAAACCTTTTATGGCAATCTTAGTTGAATAAGCAACTGGTCAATTTCAACCTGGAACAGCTTCATGTGTAAAAACCAACTTTGACTATTTTGGTAATTTCCTTAACTCCTGTAACCCACACAATATGGACTTGGGATTTGTAACTACAGGGCAACAGACATTAATGTCAGAATCATTTGTTGTAACTTTTGGTGATATTTGGTGAAAATTTAAAAGGTAATGACATATCCAGCAGCATTATCTGCACATTATTTTTAGTGCTAATTACAGAGTATTTGTAGAACTAAACTAATACATGGTAGAAATTTTATTTGGAGTCACACATGGCTCTGGTTTTAATGCTGCTGGTTTACATTCTGGAGCCCTTTAGCTCAACAAAGCTCACAAATCACTTAACTCGAGATTGACAAACAACATTTTTTTTCAATGAAAAAAAGAAATAACACATGAAAATGCTAAAAGACAGTTTATTAGCAGACACTCATCAGCCAGAAATAACCTCCTGAAAAATATCTTCCTGAAATACACCATTTGATTGGCAGTGTAAAATAAGGCAAAGGGCTTAAGATAATCTTTTTTTTTCTTTTACAGATTTGCACCAACAATAAACTGTTATACATTCACTTGTTACTGTAGTTATGCTTTTGATCTGTCCGTATACCCACAAAACCAAGAAATCTTCTTTAGAAGGGGGGCAGGGACTGACAGAGTATTTACAAAAGTAATACTCATCATAATGCATTAGCTGTTTTGGCCAAAGATTGGCTACACCTACATAGATTTTGACCAGAACCTAAACAAAGGTTAGATTTTGGCATTGCAAAAGCCAACACTACACTGACAAAAGTTCATACAGTTACCATCACCAAAATTATTAAAGGTCTTAAAAAAGTATTATAGTGTATAGATTTGAATAATATGATTTCCCTCTTTTCTCTAGGCAAATACAACTTTTGTTACCATAAAATAAATTTCCAGTGAGCTGCAAAGGACATAACAGAGCTAAATAGTGACTACTATTTTATTGGAGATCACCCATAAGTTGTTCAGAGAATCGAATAAATCAAATCCATCTTTGCCGCTATTAAAATGACTTTTTCTTTAATCAAGGTGTTTAGTGTGTGTGGGTTGTGGGCTTTTGGTGTGTTATACACCATTTGTAACCACTTCTGATTGTGGCATGTTTACCATTTCACAGCTTAAAGATGAAACAGTAAACCAAGTTGATTTTAACTAAATGTAAATTTTTTGAATACTTGTCTGGGTTTTACGTTACGTTAAACTCAACATTTATTATATTTAATCTTTCCTTGTTTTTCTTTTTTAACTCTGATGAAAACCTAGAGTATTTAACCTCACAACTTTTTGTTCCACTGGTCTTGTATTTAAAATGTCTGAATGTCTAAAACATTTTTAAATATCTGATTGCTTAGGACCTAAAAACTGCTGTTTTTGGGGTTTTTCTTTTGCAGTTTTAACTAGTGCACATAATATATGTAGTCTGACCTGCATCATGTTGCATATTAAAAAGAAAGAAAGAAAAGAACAACATGACTTGCCAGTTGGGTTTTGTGTTGGGAATAGTAGTTTAGCCATGTTGCACAAAGGATACGATAGCTGCAGCCTTCTTTTGTATATATTTTTATGAAAAGATGTGCAGTGGGGTTAAAAACATCTAAACAGGTAGTTCAGTACTACACATATAAACACACAGCACGGGTATGCTATGGGTAAAAATGTCCTCAGCTTGGATGGCTAACTAGGTGGAATGCAGCTCATTTGTACAGGGTCTATTATCCCATTGAGCATCAAAATGAATCTGGGATAAATAATCAAAGAGCTAATTTCCAAAATTGTACATATCCATTTATATTAAACAAAATCTTACCCTAACTCCAAAGCACCAAAGAAGATCAATTCATCACTCAAACATAACTATTTGCACTTTTTAAATGCTGCATCAATAGTTTGCAGTCATTTCAAATTTTTTTGAGACGTGTTGGTTTTCAGCTGGTGGATATTTTGTTTTGGAAAGAAACTCTTCAGTTACACAACACTCTACACTGATATTACTGAAAGAACAACAAATGACATCAAAAAGGAAGTAACCATCACCAAGAAGAACTGAATATATATATCTATATATATATATATATATATTTATATTTTAGAAATACATAGAAAAATATATATTCATCTGAATGCCCATTATACAATTTTACACAGTAGAGTCAGAAAAAAGCCTATATGTTGGTATTGAATAGCTATGATATATACAGAGGGGATGGGTTGCTTTATAATATTATGAGGTGGTTAAAGTGGCAGATAAAGAAGTTTGTGCAAACTTGTTATCTGTTTCTTGCTGGAAAGTCCAAATTGTACATTACTGAAAAATGTCATATGTAATATGAAAAAAGTGTTTATCTGTTTTTGTTTTTAGCCTGTATTTTTTTTTTTTAAATTTCGAATACCATCGACTGGTAAATCAGCAACACTAATAGATATTGAGAGATATTCATAGCAACACTTTATACCCTGCTTTTAGACACCCTATTGATGGAGGACCTACAGCACATGTATGTGTTAAGCAAAAGCACAAAATGACAAAGTTAGAAGTATAAAATGCTACAATAGGCGCACACAGCTTCCAAGTGGGCAGCACTTGACACATTTAAAGATTTATAGTATTTGTAGTGTTTCATTTAGTTATATTTAGTAAAGCCATTCACATCAAATATCTGTATTAGTATGCACTGATACATAGAGGTATATTGATGCCTAACTTGCCCTAGGTCAAACAGTAAATGCAAACATTTTAAATCATGAAAGGGTTTGACTGTGAACAATTTAAGAATACCAAGGACTCAAGCTACTACATTTATGAATATTGTTGTAAGTAAGATAAGGTATGTGCTTGAAATCTATGGTAAACTTGGTGCTTAAACCATAAACACACATTTACAAATGCTATTTGACCTAGAGGAAGGCATATTTTTAAAGCCTGTTCAACAATAATAAATCTTTTTAGAAGCTTAATGTTTACAGTTTTAAATTTCTACCTCACCATCTGCTAGTAGTGAATAAACGCTTCGCATTTTAGGACAATTTAGAGTATTTAATACAACAGCACACAAACTGTCTACAAATCAATATAATCTGCTAAAAAATGTAATTAAAGTGTTTTTGAGTGAAATTTGGTCTCTCTGATCTCTCTGCTAAGACGCAAAGACCTATTTGAGCATGTGAGTGAAGACTGGCATGGTAAAATTACAGTTATGGTAAAAATGTAGTGGAATGTGACTGTGAAAATGTGACGTGAAGCAGTCACGTAATTCTTAAGTCAGTATAAATCTTTAAAAGGCTTAGAATAGTTAAACATCAGATAGTCCATGTAGTAGAAGTCATATACTCGCTGTCTCTCCAAAGCGCTGACCTGTGAAAAGTAATTTTCCGTGATCTGCATAGAGGTCCGCTTGTCACTTGGGTTCCTGTCTTTAAAACTGGGCAATGTGAGGTTAGGTGGTGCCCCTGCCAATCGCAAGAGAAAGTTAGACTCTTCTTCCATGTTCTCAAACTTGCCGATAAAGTCGTAATCTATGAGGCAAGGGTTGCACAGCTGATTTGCCTGTTCCCAGTGGATGTCCATTCCTACGGGCCGGTGGACATCCAGCAGGTATTGGACAAATTCTTTAAATGTGACCCCATTTCCTGTCTTCAGGGCTGCTTTTGATGGGTTCACCCTGTATTTGGAAATGATGGGTTTCCCAAACAGGGAGTGGTAGTAGTTGTTGGGATTTTCAAACTTGTCCCGGTAAGCTGACACCATTCTCTCCAAGGGCTCACGGACAAATATGACTTTGGTGTAGGTTTGCAGACGGTGCATGATTCCCTGTTGGTCAAAGCTATCAAGCTTCTTGAGATGCTGCCCGTAGTGGACTGTGTCATGCTTAATACTCTGAGTGTTGGAGGCCTTACCCGCCAGCACCATCAGGGTTCTCTTCCAGTTGGAGCATCCTGCCTTGGGGACCTGGCAGTATAGCAACTTGTACTTGTCCTCCACAAAGATGCTTTTCACATGATGACGTGTGATGGTCTTTGAAATGCTGCTTTTGTACTTAGCACAGATTTCCTTCATCAGTTGCTGGCGTGCTTCCAGGATACCGGAGAGCTTTTGCCAGCTCTCTGGAGAAAAAAAGCCCGATGTAATGGAGGAGGACATTGGGGATGAAGAGGAAATTGAAGATGAGGATGAGACTGAGGATGAGGAAGATGAGGAAATGGTATTTTTGGTGTGTCGAATTGGAGGACTTGTTTTTAGCAGTTTTCGTTGTCTTTTCGTGACATGAAGGGAACCTATGTCCTGCTCCTGAGACCCAGGGGAGGCTGTTTTTCTGCTCTTCTCAAAATGTGGGAACTGCATTGGAGGGATCGCGCTGGACAGGATGTTTTCTGTAACTTGGAGGTCCTGGAAACTATCAGATTTGCCTCTCTCGCGGTCCCGAGTGGAAAGTGTCTGTAAAACAATGACAAAACAGGTTAGAGTTGATAGCTGCAGACCTCTTTAGACTAAACAAACAAGGACAGTTTCAGGTGGCTATGCAAAGAAGAACCATTAATATAAATATTTTTTTTATTAATATGGTATATATTATAACTTCAGTGTCAGAAATGTACCCCAGATTTTTTATTCTTCAACTAGCCACTTGATGGTGCTGTTTCACTACAGCTTAAAGGTCTAACTTTGGTACACACAAATGTCACACACTGCCCAATGCCATCTATGACCTATCAATAAACTGAGCTGTAATGCCATATAAATGTCTTATAAACACTTAATGAGGAATCCAAATTAGAATCATCTACTGCCTGATTACTATCAGATGATGCCCAAGGCCATCACGCATTCTGACATTTTATTTCAATTAAATGCTGTAATGGCATCATAAAGCCAATGGACTGGATGTATAATTTTAATTGTACAACAGACAAGGTGATGAGACCACCATGAATCTTGGTTCATCCCTCTCCAGACGTAAATGGTCATATTCGTTCATCTGGAGGGAGGAAAGGATGGGGGGGGGAAGGTCCTTGTGTGTTTAAGGTGAGTGCAAGGCAGATATTGGTACACATTCTTCAGGGTTTACACCGGTGTGAGTCTCTCTCTGGTGCTGATGATCACAGCAGAGAGACAGAGAGAGCAAACAGGGGTCAGCTGAAAGAACATAGTAGGAACTACCTGACCATTGTAGTTCATAGTATGAAAACAGTTTTGTACATTTTCTAAGCTACAGATCTATATTTAAAGTGGATCCTTACATGTTTTGTTCATCAAAGAGTGAAGCCCTAGACCACGTATTGTTTTGAATGTCCATATGCATACAATGTAATATTCATAGCAGGTTGTCATTAAAAATAGATGATGTATCTTTATTTATGATATAATTTATTTTATCTATGATCCAAACGGAAAAAAGTGATTATTCTGGCTAATTATCTAAGTGTTTGCACTTCCTTTTTCATTCCCAGCCATCTCATGTTGCTGAAATTTATGGAAAAATGTTAAATCTTGATGATCAGTCTTGCTCTTTTATCTTAACTTTCCCTTTTGTGTATTTTGTTTTAGCAATTTAATTGGCTGTTAATGTCTTTTTTCTTTTTAAAAACTTTCTCATTACTTGATTAAAACTGTCTTTTAAGTGATATATTCTTCTTTTTTTAGCACTTCACCATCTCTTTTGCTAATTTTAAGTGAACTCTATTCTTTTTGTTATGTATGTTTATTCCTGATATTATTTGTGCTAATGATGAAAAATATAGCACATTAAAGCCTCAACTCAAATCCTTATTGCCTTTTATAATGATGTTTAAAACATTTAGAACACATTTTGTTGTTTACTCAAACTTTTCAAAGGTTTTAATTCTGCTTTATTTTTTCAGCTGAGAAAAATTCCATTTACTTTAATTCTAACTTGTTTTTGTGCAAGTTACTGGCTAATAAAAACGAGTTGAAGTCAAAATATGAAGTGATGTGGAATCACAGGGAGGGATAATCATAAGTAATAATTTCTGTAGTTAATAAAATTCAAAACCCCTAATAATAAAAAGAAATGAATGAATATGACTGTTTTTCCTTGTTAATGACCTAAAACACAGCCACATATTTATTTATATATTACATTACATCTACATAATCTACATTATGACTAATAATATACAAATAATTGTATTGTTCCTGCCCATATTGATTGCATCAATTAAAAATTCACAACATAGATGGGGAAAATGCATGTGAACAAATGTGGAGGTGTAGGTTACAGAAACCTTAAGCTTATAAAAGGTATGTATGTAAAAGAGTGTGCTAACTGCCCCTTCTCCTCTGTGCCCAGAGCTACCAAACAAAATTTTGTTGTGTGAACACAAAATGGCAATAATCTTCTTATGAGTTTGCAAGATGCATCTGCAGTTTTTAGGCAGAGTCAGGAAAACCATTATGTATTTGTTTTAACTGCTTGTTAATGCAAATACCTAAGCAGACAAACACTTGGAAACAACTCCTTGCATGTTGGCACGACTAAGACAAAGTGCTGAAGTTTAAATCTAGCAACAGAATTGGGAAGAAGATTTAGGAGACTTTGAACATGGAATGATTGTTGGACCCAGTCAGACTGGTTGGAGTATTTTAGAAACAACTGATCTGCTGGGATTTTCCCACATAACCATCTCTAGGGTTTAGAGAGAATGATCTGAAAAAGAGAAAATCTCCAGTGAGCAGCAGTGCTCTGAGAGAAAATGCCTTGTTGAAGTCACAGGTCAAAGGAGAAAGACGAGACTGCTTCAAGCTGATAGGAAGGCAGTATTAATTCAAATAACTACCTATTACATCCAATGTATTCAGAGGAGTGTATCTGAACACACATTTATCCTTGAATTAAATGTGCTACAACAGCAGCAGAAGACTACACGGGTCTCACCAAAATTTGACAATAGAAGATTGGAAAAACATTGCCTGCTTTAATGAGTCTCGGTTTCTACTGTGACATTCAGATGGCAGGGTAGGAATTTGGCATAAATAACATAAAAGCATGGATCCAGCCTGCCTCTTAATAATGGTTCAGGCTAGAGTTGGTGGTATAATGGTGTAGGGGGTATTATGTTTTGGCCCTATTAGTACCAACTGAACATCGCTTAAATGCCATAGCCTGAATGTTGTCTCTAACCATATCTGTCCCTTTATGACCACAGTGTACCCATCTTCTGATGGCTGCTTCCGGGCAGGATAACCCATCATGATACAAAGCTCAAATAATCTCAAAATGGTTTTTTGAGCATGACAGTGAGCTTACTGTACTCAAATGGCCTCCACAGTCACCAGATCTTAACCCCTGGGATATGGTGGAACGGGAGGTGAAGCCAAGAAATCTGCAGCTACTGTGTGATGTCATGCCAGTATGGGCTAAAATCTCTGGGGAATGTTTCCAACACTGTGTTGAATCTATGCGTTGAAGAATTAGGGGAGTTCTGAAGGCCAAAGGCGTACCAATTAACATCTGTGTTCATGTCTCTAAAATACATATATCATTGAACAGACAGAGTTGATAGTAGGATAGCATAGAGGAAGCTGCTGAGCTCCAACAGTAACCATCTCCTCTCATCTGAAGATTGAAAAGAAGAACCTTTGCCCTTGACGCCTCTGCTGGGAAAATGTTTTGAGGACTTATGAAACAGCTGAATTATTTGGGAACGCTAGGCAGCACTGTGTCTGAACCTTTGGAAGCATCATTCCAAAGGTGATGCACAGTTAAGAGAGCATTACATTATGCTTTTCTGCCTCTGGGCCTGGGCATTTTGGCATCGTCACAGCGAAAATGAACTCCCACATTTAAAACAATATATTAAAGGATACTGTCATGATGCCAGGCGATGCAAGCGTAAGCGTAAAATGACCCCAAACATTAAAGTAAATCTACCGAATAACTTCAAACAGAGCAACCAACAGAAAGAAAATCCACCTTTTGGAGTGGCCCCATCAGGGACCTTAATCCAACTGAGAAGCTGTGGAATCAAAAGAAAACAGTTCATGCCAAAGAAATATGGCTGAATAGAAGCAGTTATTTAAGGAAGATTGGTCCAAAATGGCTTCTGAACAATATGCAGGTCTGATCTTGCAGTTATAGAACGGACCTCCTGTTTGATGACTCAAAACAAGATTTCTCCAGGTATTAAATCAAAGGGTTCAATTATTGTTGTTATTTTTATTTTTAAATATTGTGAATATTTAATGTTAAATAAAGGAAATCATATTTGTATGTTACTATATAAGCTTAAGCCCATGTGGATGTATTTGTGACTTAGATAAAGAACACAATGTATACTTTTTACACCTGAAAAACACTGAAAATAGTAAAACAAAAAGAATAAATGCAAAAAAAAAAATTTTGCTGTGGGAGAACAGAGGAAAAAAAAACTCCAGGTGTGATAATACCCCGAGGAAACTGGCCTGGTGCAACTGGGATCGTTTACTCACTAAACTCAGCTTCAGTCTGACTGGCTGAATGCACAGTGTGAGGTCAGCCTTTCTACACAGATGCTATCAGACACGCTGAGAGGTACAAGGCTGACAATCACTTTTTTTTTGCAATAGATAACAGGTGGGAGCAACCTGTGTGTATGTGTTTTGGGAGAAATGGAGTAAACACATACCTCTCTGGATTGCCGTGGAGTACTTCCAAGCTTCACGCCTGGAGAGAGAAGAGAAAAAAGACAAGAAAATCAGTGCTTAGGCAAACAACATGTATTTTTGTCCTCATAGAAGAAGCTGGGAACCTCAAATACACCTCAGACAACCTCCAATAATTTAGTACTTCTGTTCAGTTAGCACATCTTCTTTCATCCCGAGCAAACTAACACTGCTTTTCTGGTGCAAAGAGGTAGGATAGGTAATATTATCTGAGTAATGAGTTGCCACCAAGCATGAATAGCTGGTAAATGAGCTGTACTCCCTGTGATAAGCCCTTTTCAGTGAAATGTGGGGAAAAAAACCCTAAACAAATAAAACTGAACTTTAACTAAAAATGAGAGATCCAAAAAAACAACAAAGCGAAGTAACAAAAAGTTTTTTTTTTTAAAAGAGGCCAATTACAAACCAAAAGAGAGAATGACACACAAACTGAAAGATACATGTCGTTGAAATTTTAGAAATCAACAGGAGAGTGATGGAGACATATATACTGGTTATGTGGCAGCCTTGGTGACAGGTGGATGTGTATTGGCAGATGTGCAGCAGCAGGACAGACGATGTGCTTAGTGGTCTGTCTCCGGCTGGACATCTCTTTTTCCTTAGGTACCCCACCCCTCACCTCACTCCCTTTCCCACCCCTCCCATCTGATATGTAATCAGGCTGACAGCTCTGAATGGGGCTGCATGGCTGCTGATGGGGTGAGCGAAGACACCTCTGCCTGAGTGGCTTGTCACTTCCAATATGAGGATGGAAGTGATAGGAACCTGCATTTGGGGGGGGGGGGGTGCTGAAGATGCAGGCCACAACCTTTCCTAAGTGATGAGATGTGCAGAGCCCTATCTCACACATCTCACACTTAAACACGCCTCAGTGGGGATAGAATAAAACATGTTGCCTAGATGCAGTGTTGTTTTAGATTAGTATGCGCTGGAGAGCTCTCTGTTGCTGTCTGGCTCTGTGTGTTGAATCTTTGTCTTCATTCTTCTGAATGAGACACTGGAGGAAAAGGCTAAGGAGGAAAAAGAAGAGCGGCAGACTAGGGAAGCGGCATGTGACATTTCCTGATCGTGTTTGGGTGCTGCCAAAACATTTGATCGCTTAACACTAAAAAGAGCAGGATGGGCATCTTGAATTTCACTTTATATTGAAACGCGAACATATAAATATTTATCATAACACACGCAAATATTATTGTCAGGCAGACACATCCTAGCACAAAAATAGTAACGGTCTGTGAGAGTCTGTTGTTCTAAAGTGAGCCCCTGGTAGCACCAAGCATCTTGTCAAGACACATGCGTGGTTATCGATCTTGAAAACCCCATCAAGGGAGTAATTGAAATCTCCAAAGGTTTAATTGGTTTCTTCTAGGAGGTGTTTTGTCTGGCTGTTGATACATATTTGTCCAAGCTTGTGATACGATGACTATATCACCTTCCTGCTTCGTGCTGCACACTCAGTCTGAGAGAAAATGTTAAACATTTTAGTGAATCATTAACAGAACTGTGAGGCGATAAGATAAGGTATGGGAAATCCTTATGATACATAATTGTGACACTAATAACATTTTTAATATTGCTCCTTTATTTATATAATTTGTTATGCAAATGCAAAGGCTGGAGAAACAGGAAAAAAGAAGTGAAACAAGGCATTTAAGCCTAATGCCTTGAAATGAGCATGAAGGATAATTTGTTGTCATGTTCAGCACTTGTGAGTTGTTAAAATTGATTTGAAAATGACTCTGACATGGCTTGATTTGATTAAAATGCTGTTGCAAAGAGGGTTTGAATTTCAGTGCTGAAAATGCAATTCTCTCAAGTTGGGAGTCAAAATTACATTTCAAGAGGAAAAACATTTTTCCATGACAGCGTATAACAGAAACAAGTAATATGACATTGTAAACAGGATTTCAGGAGGCTTTGTAAACATCATTTATCTTTGTAGTATGTATTTGGTTGTGCTGTTTGATTGTAATTTCACACTCAGTAAATTCTACTCAGTATAACTAAGCTATTGATTTCAACTCCTGTGCAGTGAAACAGTAATGATTGATAATTGTGATACATTTACCCTTTCAGATTCACATATAGATATAAAAGCTACAGTTAATGTCTATCCTTTTTTTATCTCCCAGAAGTTATATTAATAATCTGATGAAGCCAGAGGTCAAAACTGTATCCAGATTTGTTAATGTACACTGCGTCATTCACAAAAGGGACTTGCTACAGCAGTACCACATGTAGGTACCACATGCCGCCTCCCTAGTCAACCAATAAAGTTAAGGTTGTTTTTACACCTAGATATTAAATGTCACTTTCTGGTAGTTCTCCTTTTGAAGCTCTAAAGGTTTCCAGTAAGCAAGTCTACATGCAAGATATGGCATTTATAGCAGAGATCAAAATAAGTCATGTGTTAAGCTTTGCTTTGATTTTCAGGTATCTGACTGTAATTTTTTTTGATGATAGAGAACTATTAAATAGCACAATCTCCTTTTGAGGCTTGTCCTCTGTTGCCCTCTAAAATAACCTTGAGCTGCCACCACTTTTTCACAGACATAGCCATGAATATTCATGCAGACAACCCAGCATTACTGCGTAAGCAAAGGCCACATCATTAGCAGATCCATTATCATCCTTCCCTCTCACATATCCTTACGCAACTCTCTAACAGAGACATACATCAAAGATTATCTTTTTCCCTGTCACTGCCACCGAGGAGGAGCAAAGGACAAAAACAATGCGAAATAATGAGCTTGTTAAGTGAAGGACTGTGGCCCTATGTTCTGGAAGAACTTGTTAAATGCCTGTTTTTAACTAGTGAAGGGCCAGGAGGGTTCTAAAAGCCAGACAAGGCGTGTCCTTCTCCAGCCTACAATTCAGACTAGTGATGCTGCGCCACTATAAACCTTTCATTAGTCATTCAGCACACTAAGGCACTGTGACCCCAACCAGCTGCACTCCTCTCTCTCTCTCCCAACAAACCACCCACACCTGCACTCTGCACACACGCTCCTCCTCCACTTGACTCTGTGTGGGAATACAAGGCTCTGGTATGCTGGAAAGACGCTTGAGAATGGCGGTATTAGGCTTTGAGCTCTGGTCCATTGATGTTTTAACTTGTTGTGGTAAGAGATAAAACGATGTTTTAAAATCCTCCAGGACTGGGCCAGAGAGAGCAGCTGCTTGGGGGGAGGAGGAGGTGATGGGTGAGCAATCAGTGAAGCGAGATTAAAGATGTGCTTGCAGAGACTCTCTAAAGACCAAACACAGACCATCTAGAATTTGTGTGCCTTGTCATCTGAAGATTAGCTTGTGAGAGGAAGCCACACAAAGCACAGGTTTGGCGAAAAATGAATCAGTAACAGATTTCCAATCCAACCATTGACAACATACTGTAAATGAAGAAAACACACACACACACACACACACACACACACACACACACACACACACACACACAACAAATGATTTCCTCTAGTTTAGTGATACAAACCACATTCTCTTTTAATGACAACATCTAAAAACTCTTCAGTATGAGTCCTACAGGAGGACATG